CAGGGAGGAGAGCGCAGCTTCGGCGTGGGGAGGGGTCGCTGAGCCCCCCCTTCTCTGGCCAAATTCCTTCCCAGCCTTTGGGATGGGTGTCTCAGCCCGGGGCGGAGCCGGGGCTCGTCGGTGGCGTTCCCTCCGCCCCTGCTCGTTCGAGTGTTCCCGTTCGTGTTGCTCTTCAGGCTTTCCCTGCCCTCCGTGTCAATAAAGTCATTTCCACGAGGCTCTGGCTGCGTGTGGCTCTGTGGGAATGGGGAGAGGAGCCATTCCCCTGATGCTGGCTCTGCCCAGGGGAGCAGCAGGGTGAAGGCTGCATTTGGTGGGAAGGAGACTGTTTGCTCACCAGGCTTCTTTTCCCACCAGCCCCTTCTGCAGCACAGCACCCCTAAATTTGGGGCTTGCAGGAGGAGGAGGCAGCAAGTTTCCTTGGTGCTCCAAGAGCTGCTTCTCCTCATCTCAAAGGGCAGCAGGGACAGATTGAGATGAGGAGCAGGAGATGGATGTACCCATTTAGCCCTTTTGGGGCTCCGGGGGGCTGTGTGTAGTGTGACCTGTTTTCCCCGTGGTGAAATGGTAAAATCCTGGGAGTCAGTGATGTGTTTGGGTTGCTTTGCACTGGTGCTGCTGTTTCTCAGAGGGCTTTGCCATCTCTGGTCCCATCTCAAGCAGGATGGGTTGGGCTGCAAAACCTCTGTGCCAGGCCAGAGCCAAGCTCAGTACTTGAAGTGGTCAGAAATCCAACAGAACAAGCAGCAGGTTTGGGGGGTGTTGCTCTGAAGCAGGGTAACCTTTTCCCTCACCCTGCCCAGCCTTGGCTGAGCAGCACCTGGATTTTTGGGAACTTCCACCCTCTGTGGAGGGCAGGTACCATATCCACCAGTGTTGCCCTGCACTGGATGGTTTTGTGTTGGAAGCAGGTGTACGTGTCAGGTAACAACAGTGACAGGCTGGCTTGGGGTCCCTGATCTTGCTCTTGTGTCCCTTCCTGCATCCCTGGTGTGCCTGGGATGGGATCATCATTCCCTGCTGGAGATGGGCCTGGAGCAGCATTTGGCCCCACAGGAACAAAAGCTGCTGTGGGATGCTCGGGGCTTTGCCCTGTGTGCTGCTGTCCCTTCATGTCCTGTGGCAAAGGAAAAGGTTTCATCCTCCCTCCCCGCTCTGCCAGAGGCTCCTGGAGAACAAACTGGTCTTTGCTGCTGCTGTGGATTTGCAGACACTCTGTGCCCTGTCAGCAGGGACACACCAACCCCCTGGGAGCTGGCTTTGTCATTGGCAGTGTCACCCGTGGGGCTCAGGGGACACAGGTGGTGCTCCCTGAGCTGGGAACTGGCGGGGGGGATTGGTCCCCAGAGCCTTCCCTGTTCCCGAGGCCACACTGTGGGACAGGGACCTCTGAGCTGTTCCTTGCTGCTCTGGCTGGAGCTGGGGCAAATCCCACTGTGCTGGGTGGGCTCCCCAAAATCCTGCTGCTCCCGCTGGCCTCACACCCATCCTGCTCCGTGCCAGTGCCAGCAGCTCCCTGAGCCCATGAAGGGGAGACAGGGACTCAGGGGAGGAGGCAGGAGCTGACCACAGCCACCAGCTCTGCCCGTCCCCTGCTGCCACCTGCACATCAGGACGCAGGAACTCTTGGATGGATGATTTTAGGTTTGCCTTGCGCTTGTGTCGCTGAGACTGGGATAAACCTCCCATCCAGCAGGGACATGCCAGGATCCAGCCCCACTCCCTTCCCCCCCGTCCTCGTGTATTAAATTTCACACATAAAACTGCAACTGAAGAGCATCTCGGAGGGAAGTGCTAAAAATAGCCCCGAGGCTGGAGCCTGAATTGTGCAGGAGAGTTCATGTGCAGCCCGATCCCTGCGCTCTCCCGGCAACATTCCCGGGCTCGGCGCTGTTTTATGGCCATGCGGGGAATGGGAGCAGCATCTCGGGCTGCCGATAACCCCAGGGACACAAAAATACTGCCCTGCTGCGAGCATCGGGCAGCTCTGCAGGGAAATAACGCCCCGATCTCTGCCAGCCCGGGTGCAAGACGGGATACGGCGAAGGGGCTGTGACCGCCTCTGCCTGCCGCTGCTGCCAGGGTGGCACAAAGGCTGTCCTTGTGCCCCCCAGCCGTGGGGCTGTGTCTGCCGTCCCCTTGTCCCCCAGGAGGGATGTGGCATTGTGTTTCCCCCTGCACCCCCTCCTCCCCCTGGAGAGGAGCCCCCGGAGATGATGTTTTTTCCCAGCCGAAGGTGCTGACGAGGCTGGAGGGAGCCCGGCCGAGCTGCCGGAGCTCGGGCTCAGCCAAACCCGTGTGTGATCGCCGCCAGACCTGTGCAGACACCTCGGTGCTCGCCGGTGTCACAGGCAGCCGGAGTGGGGTCTGGGGGCTATTCCGAGGAGCAGAGGGGTGCAGGGATTCCATCAGCAGCGTGTCCCGGGGGCCTGGACCATGGTCCTGGAGGTGCAGGCAGCATCTTCCCCTCTGTCCAGCACGCAGGTAAAAGCTCCGTGCGGGGTGACCCAAAAATGCAGACACTGCAACAGGAACGTCCCTCCTTTGGTGGGGCCTGCGGCCAGCCTGGGCTCAGGGTCCCCCCGGGCACAGAGAAGCCCCCAGCCCCTCCAGGGGCCGGCACGGCAGGAGGTGAAGCGATGTGCCCCAGAGCACAGCGAGCAGCGGTGTCGGAGGAGGGAAAGACGCCCTGGGAGGGCTCCTGCCCACCTCCCCCGAGGGAGTCCGGCCCGTGGGACTCGTCCGGGGTGGGCATGAGAGCACAGATGCCGCCGGGCGAGGGAAGGGGTGACGCCGCTGCACCCAGCACACTGCAGGGGGGACATGGGAGGGTCTTTTCCCATCGGCGCCTCCCCAGAGCCCCGGGAGAAGCCGGTGTCTCTGCTGGATTCCTGCGGCTCGCTCTGTGCATTCCCTGCCTCCTTTCCCGGGTGCTGCCTCCTTCCCTCCAGGGCACTGCCCGCATCCTTCCCGGGCATCCTCTGCATCCCTGCCTGGGCAGAGCCTCCTTCCCTCCCCGGGCGCTGCCTGCATCCCTTCCTTAGCTCTGCCTCCCTCCCTCCATCCCTCCCTCCATCCCTCCCCAGGCGCTGCCCGCCTCCCGCCTGGGCATCCCCGCCATCCCACCGGGCTCTGCCGCCTCCATCCGTGCCCGGACACCGCCGGCCCCCCCGCCGTGCCCCGGCCGGGCTCCCCGCTCCCCGCCGCCGCCCCCCGGTGTGGCCGCCGGGGCTCTGCAGCGGGGCCGCCCGCCGGGGCTCGCCGCATGGCTCCGCCGCCCGCCGGGGCGCCGCCGGCCCGGGCCGCCGCTGCCAGGTACGGGGGATCCGCCGGGAAGGGAAGGGAAGGGTAGGACGCGGGGGCAAAGTTACCGCTGGGCAGGGCCGGGGGTGGCTGGGATGAGGGGACGAGGGGGAAAGTTGAGCTCCGGTGCTCTCCGCTCCCTTCTCCCGCCGGCACGGCGGGTGCGGGTGTCGTCTCCCCTCGGCATCCCCCGGTCCCCTCCAGCCCCAGCGACCCCGCGGGCCGGGGGTGCTGCGCTGCCCAGCGGGGCCTGAGCATCCCCGGGAGGGTCTGGATGCGGGGAACGGGGGGTGCGGGATGTGGGGGGGAAGGATGTGGGGTGAGGGACTCTGCCCCCGCCCTACGGAGCTCAGGGGTTGCTCCTTCCAGTGCCCCAGGAGTGGCAGCGTGGCCAAGGTCGCAGCGGGGGCCGGAGCCACCTTTCCCGGAGCCCCCTGCGAGCCCCCGCCCGGCCCTGCAGCCCGCGGAGCCCGGCCTGGTGCTGAGCGCCCGAGGAGCCGCCAATGGTCCCTGCCCCACCGCCCCACCGTGGGGTGCCCCGAAGGCTCCCCCCGCTGTGCCTCAGTTTCCCACAGTGGCTGCTTGTAGGGCCGGGGACCATCAGGTCGGGCTGTGATGCTTTTGGGGTGCAGCGTCCCCGTGTGCCAGCACAGAGGGCGGTGAGGCTCTGGCGGAGGCAGAGCGGGGCTCAGCCCGTGCCCCAGTTCCAGCGAGCCCTGCGGCCACTGGGTTTCCAGTTGTGTCGCTCCATCACGCTCCGGCCCCGCAGAGGAGCTGGGGCCGCTGCTGTGAGGAGGAAGGGTTCGTGGGGACGGGGCTGTCCCTGCAGCAGAGTGGCCCCCGGGACCTGCAGTGACAGTGCTGTCTGCTGGCGGATAGAGGCCCTGGCAGGGTCGGGACTGGGGGCTCCTGCACCCCCCATTTCCCTGCATCTGGCACAGAAACATTCCCACTGCGGGGCTGGGGACAGCCAGCACCCCGGGGGACAGTGCCAGCAGCACGGGGGGACAGGGTCCCCGGTCCTGGCATGAGGGGGGGTGATGGTGGTGTGAGCCATGGCCCAGGGAAGGGATCCCGGGAAGCTTGGCTACTCCAGCACCCAGCAGTGGGAACCGCTGTGCCCAGGCTCCCCCCGGGGTAAATAATCTCCATCAAACAGGCACAACAGGGTGTTTGAACCTGACACTTTCAGCTGCCGTCCTGCACTTCGGGGGCGATTTTTAGGGAAAATGGGCCAGAGCATCAGAAATTGGTCAAAGCATCCACACTTTGGGATAAAGCACAAGCTGCTTCCTGGGGATGAGAGCCAGTGGAAGCGGGACCCATCCCCTCGCCCGTGCCGTGCCCATCCCAGCTCCTGGTCGGGAGCCCGGTGCCAGCGGGTGTTGGGACTCCTCAGGCTCAGCTCCCACATCCCTGTGTGTGGGTTATCCCCCCGTGTCCCCCCACACGTGGGCCCGGCCCCGGGGCCCTCCGGCCCCAGCACAGCGGTGGCTCTGGGCTCACCCTGTCAGCTGGCTCGCAAATGAGTCCCCATCAAGTTAATTGCCCAGGCGCTCAAAGCCTGAAACGAAACGTTCAAGCTGTCGCTCGCAGGCGCACGGCGATCTCCCCCAGCCCGCAAAAGGCAATTCCGGCTGTCCAAGGCGAGGGAAGATGGATTACCCGCCTTGGGAAGCACCGGGAAGGAGCAGCTGGGGACGGTGGCTGTGGGTTGAGTGCCCAGCACAGCCTGGGACCCTGAGCAAACCCTGAGCTGCAGACAGAGCCTTTCCTTGTTCTGCTACTGAAAGGGCTGAATGTGCCTGGGAGAACCTTCCTGGAACAAAGTTCACCCAAATCCTGCCTCTCCTTGGCCGCTGGGCTGGGAGGTTGAAGGGAGACCCTGAGGTCCTGCAGTGCCAAGACCCCCGGGTGCGTCGTCAGCTCCTGCTCGAAAAAACACCCCCTGAAGCACCACCAGTGCAACTCCGGGGTGTCTCTGACCACCTTCCCCTTGGCCTTGCAGTGACGGGGAGCCCCGGAGGGGAAATGCATCCTGAATGGGGCTGAGGCCCCCTGCTCGGGAATATGCAGCCTCGGCACCGCGGAGGCAGCACCAGGGCAGCGGCCGGCGCGCAGCGGGATGGTGGCAACCTTCAAGATCGCCGTGCTGGGAGCCCAGGGCGTGGGCAAGAGCGCCATAGTCCGGCAGTTCCTGTACAACGAGTTCAGCGAGGTCTGCGTGCCCACCACGGCCCGCCGCGTCTACCTGCCCGCCGTGGTCATGAACGGCCACGTCCACGACCTGCAGATCATGGACTTTCCCCCCATCACCGCCTTCCCTGTCAACACCCTGCAGGTAGGGGGGCACCCGAGGGTGCCTCCATCTCTGGGGGTCTGTGTTGACCCCCCCCTGTGGTGGGGTTTTGCTGTTAAACTCTGTGGGGTTCCACTTCTGCCTTTTTGGAGGATGCTTCTCCCTCCGTGGCAGGGTTTGGTTGGTGATTGAGGGGTTGTGTGCTCATGGATCCTGCTGAGCAGGTCCAGGATGAAGTGTGTTTTGAAGTTTGGTGACAGCAAACACAAGAGAGGTGGCATCCCACTCCAAGGAGCATGGCTCTGGCACTGCCCACAGCTGGGATCCAGCTGGGTCCTGCAGCACTGGGATCCAGGCCTGTGGCTGTCAGAGCCAACAGAACATTTGGGTGAAACCCAGGGGTTCCTGGAGAGCCACAGCCCCAAGGCACCCACTGCCCAAGCCAGGCAGAGCCTGTCCCCTCCTGGGAGTGGCCATCACCCTCTCCAGCACTGCCTGGGCTTGTTCCTGGAGCTCTGAGCCCACCAGCTCCTCCTCTGCCCCCTCAGGTGCGTCCAAAGCACCGACAAAAGGCAGTGTGGGGTTGGAAAGTGTTGCCACCAGTGCCAACAACTTCTGGGTGGAGTTAATGGGGAAAAGGGGATGTTAAGCTCATGCCATAGCCCCAGTCCAGGGGCACAAGTGGTGTCCTCACTGTGGGGAAAGGAGCTGTGCCACCAGTGGGGCCACCTCAATTAGTCACAGTGTCCCTGTCCCCAGCAGGGATGGGGTCACAGGGGCTGTGTAGTGCTCCAAGAGTCCCTGTGCCATCAGGCAGGAGGTGAAATGAGCACTCTAGGAGCGAGGAGAAGGTTTAAAAATTAATGGGTGAGTGCAGGGAAGGAAAGGTCAGCGTGAGAAGCAGCCCTAAATAGCAAAGGGTAATTTATTGACACGGCAGCCGATGCTCACACACTCCATTAACTCCCTGCCTTGCTGCTCTCCAGAGGAGGTGGCCAGTGGGAACAGATGGAGGTTTCCAGGGAAGAGAGGGTGATCAGAGGGATGGCTCTGAGGGAAAGGAGAGGCCCTTGGTGAGGGATACAGCTCTGTCTGCTGGGAAACATCGTGGGCTCAGCTCCGTGCCAGGAGAAGCATCCCTGCAGTGCTGTCCTGGAAGGGGAGCAGGAGCCAGTGGCTCTCTGACATGCTGCTCCTGCAGTGCAACACTTCTCCAGCTCAAGCATCCTGGAAAACCTGCACTGCTGAGGAAAACCACCCTGACATGGCAGAGCTGGAGCAAGCTGCCCCCAGCACGGTGAAATAGCTGCAGTTCCTTGTCTCCTTGATTTATCAGTATTCAGAGGAGCCCAGAGGCTGCTGCTCCACTCCTGCATCCCAGACCCGAGGGTCTCCCCAGCATCTCCCCTCGGTGGGCAGGGAGGGGCTGTGTCCCTCTGCTCCCTGCCAGCTCCTTCCCCTGCTGCCCTCTGTGACAGGGATCAACTACATCTCAAAACTCCCCTTTCCCCACCTCATTCTGATGATAAACTTGGGAAGGGCTGATTCATGGCTCTGAAGGGGTTTGCTGAGGGAGAATGATGCCTTTCCTCCCTGGAGAGCCTTTCTCCTTTCCAGAGGCACCCAGGAGGGATTTGCAGTGCTGCCTGCAGGGACTGCCATTCCCAGTCCCACTGCTGGCATGGGAAAGTGCCTGAAGTGAGGCAGACTTTCACTCATAGCATGGAAAAAAGAAAGAAAAAAAAAAAAAAAAAAAAAAAAAAAAAAAAAAAAATCCAGTTGTTCCCTGAAACCCAACGGTTTCCTAAGAGTATTAATTTCTTCCAGCTCCAGCTCCAGATTTTGGCTGTAGAGAGGCCTCTCCTGACTGCCTCTGCCCTGGATCCACATCTTGCTCTCACAGACTCAGTTCCTGAGCAGCCTCTGCTCCTCTTCTGTCCCCATGTCCCCTCCAGACAGACTGGCTGTCACCTTCCCCCTCTGACCCACAGAGCTGCTGGTGCATCACCCTCAGAGCTCAGATGGGGCTCAGCATCCTCCTCACCTTCCCTGCCCCAAAAACCAGGGTGCATCCTAATTAACACAGCTAATTAGCAGCTCTGGAGGATGAAGCTCTTACACCCAGAGCAGGGGGCTGCATTCAGCCCCACACCCAGCTCAGCTCTGTGCTGTAATTAGGCTGCAATCCTCCCTCAGGAGTGGAATTGGGGCTGACAGATCCTGTTACCTGTCCCCTGGATTGTCAGGGGGGATGAGGGGTCTCTGGAGGTGGGGGGTGGCTGCAGAGCTGTGGGGGCACACACAGAGGGGTCAGGGCAGAGCAGAGGTGGGTGCTGCCTGTTGGGGCTGGGGGATTGCACAGCCCCCTGCTGCCACAGCAGCCTCCTTGGGGTGCCCACCCCAGAACAGGGCAGGGCACCCCCAGGCACAGCAGCTGAGCCAGGATTGATCCCTCTGTGCTCCTTGCAGGAGTGGGCAGACGTGTGCTGCCGGGGGCTCCGGAGTGTCCATGCCTACATCCTGGTCTATGACATCTGCTGCTTTGACAGCTTCGAGTACATCAAAACCATCCGCCAGCAGATCCTGGAAACAAGGTAGGGAGGGATGGCTTTGGGATGGTGCATCCCCACGGTGGCAAGGGAGTTCAGCACCGAGGGGCTACATCTTGGCATCAGAGATGAGATATCAGACTGGTACAGAGCCCCTTTGCAGGGATGGGAGCCCAAAAACCAAGAGAGCAGCAGGACCCCAGGCAGGCTGCTCTGAGCCAAGGGTGGGCTGGAGGGTTCTCTGCTGCCAGCCCCAAAAATGAGCTGTGAAATGCCCAGCAAAGGCTCTGAGCAAAGGGTCACAATTCCTGCCTCACTCCTGACAGAATTCCCAGGAAAACAGGATTGGCTGCCCTCTGTAAGATTCCACACCAGCAGCACATCCAGCACCCTTCACTTCACATCCACACCTCTCACTCTTACTCCGAGAGAGAAAAACAGGGTCAAGGTTGGCAGAGCTTTGAGGAGCCTGACTGGGAACTGGCTTTAATTCTGGCTGTTGATTGTGCATTGAGGTGGCAGGCGGGTGTTCCCTGTGGGTGAGCAGCTGCAGGTGGCATGAGGGGTGGCCGGACACAGAGAGGGACAAGGGGCAAGGCAAGCCGCAGCCAGGAGCCCGTTTGGGACGGGTTGAGCTCTGTGGGCTGTCCCTCTGTGCTCCGTCCCCTGCCGTCCTGCCTCACCGCCCGCCCTCCCCAGGGTCATCGGCACCTCGGAGACGCCCATCATCATCGTGGGCAACAAGCGCGACCTGCAGCGGGGCCGGGTGATCCCGCGCTGGAACGTCTCCAACCTGGTGAAAAAGACGTGGAAGTGCGGCTACATCGAGTGCTCGGCCAAGTACAACTGGCACATCCTGCTGCTCTTCAGCGAGCTCCTCAAGAGCGTGGGCTGTGCCCGCTGCAAGCACGTCCACACCACCATCCGCTTCCAGGGCGCGCTGCGCAGGAACCGCTGCACCATCATGTGAGCCCCTGCCCGGGCTGCCCAAACCCGGGGATGGTTCTGCTGCACCATCATGTGAGCCCCTGCCCGGGCTGCCCAAACCCGGGGATGGTTCTGCTGCACCATCATGTGAGCCCCTGCCCGGGCTGCCCAAACCCGGGGATGGTTCTGCTGCACCATCATGTGAGCCCCTGCCCGGGCTGCCCAAACCCGGGGATGGTTCTGCTGCACCATCATGTGAGCCCCTGCCCGGGGCTGCTGCTCCTGGGCTGCCCAAACCCGGGGGTGGTTCTGCTCCCCGGGCAGTGGGAGCTGTGCTGGAGGCACCTCCGGGGTTGCTGAGGTGACATTTGGGGACGGGGCACCTTGGGCAGGGTGGTGCAGGGGGTGGCCAGGCTGCCTGGGGATAGTGAGGGGTGAGGGATGTCCCTGAGCTCTCTCCAAGCCTCCAGAGCTTGAGGCCAAAGCCACCCCAGGGGGTTGTACACGGCACTGGAGGGTGGAGGAGGTGCCACCTCTGAGGTACCCTCAGAGTGTGCCCGGATTTTGGCTGCCAGTTCATTCTTGCCAGTCCCTGCCCTGGCAGCACAGGGGCAATGCCTGCCTGCCATCGCCTGCTCCTGGAAGGGAATTATCCAGCACCTGTGTCCCGCTGTTCTGGGGGTGTTCTCTCTCTAGGGCATAGGGAAACAGGAGCTCTGCTTTTCCCCTTGTGGAGCTGGGATTTCTCCCTGTGGAGAAATCCGGGTTACACGGGCTGTCTCTTGGCTCTGTCGGGTCAGATTTCCAGGTGGAATTTCTGGATGAAAGCAAGAAAGGGGGAAAAAAGTAAGTCGCAATCCTGCTCCTGATATCCCCAGGAGCTGGGTTCTGCCTTCGCAGGGCTCTGAGCTCCCCTCTGCCCCAGCTCAGCCCCAGCACAGGAAGGCTTCTCCTCCCCCCAGCCCGTGAACACCAAATAATCTGGGAACACTCCTTGCCGGGCAGGTCACCCGTCTGCTACCTCTCGTCCTGGGCTCAGCAGGTGACCGACTTTGCACGGCTTCACCCCAGCCCCCGGGGTGTCCCCTGTGTCCCCTGTGTCCCCTGTGCCGCCGGCAGTGCCACCAGGTCCGACCCCGCCGGGTTTCCCCACAGGGATTTGCCTCGGCAGCAACAGGGAGCTGGAGCAGCACTTCCAGCTGCATTCTTGAGGTTTTGTTTTGTTTGTTTGTTTGTTTGTTTGTTTGTTTTTTCTCTCTGCATATCCCTAATAGGAAAGTGAGCCCTCCATTTTTTTTTTTTAATCATTATTTTTTAATCTTCTGGTTTGTGTTTGCAGCAGAGCTGCATCCTGCCCTGCAGGGTGGGTTGGCAAAGGGCAGCCCCTGTTAGGAAACGATGATGGGGTGGTGAAGGGAGAGCAAGAGGCTGAGAGGAGCGTGGTTTCTCCATGGCTGGTCCCTGTGAGACACAGGGAAACACCATCCTCATCTCCTGAGGCAGGATCTGTGTCTGATCCATCCTCCAGCAAAACCATCTCCGTGATTCCTGCTGTCACAAGGAGCTGGAGGGGCTCAGCACTGCTCTGGGCAGCAAAACAGGACACCCAGCCCTCCCTGCCACCACAGCCAGGTGTCCATGGCCCAGCAGCTCCCCTGTGCTCTTGGAATTGCTTCCCACTAAAGGCAGCTCCAGCTGAGCTCCAGTGCCTCTGACCACCCCATCCCTGGGCCAGGGCTGGGGGTACATCCTGCTCCCCCCTCCCTGCTTGGGGAATCAAACTCCTTGCTCCAAAATTATTTAAAAAAAGAAAAAAAATAAAAAAAAAAAAGGGAAAAAATTAGGAAAGGCAATGGGGGGACACGGGTCCATCTCAGCCAGGAAGGGCCGTGGCACTTGTCACCATACCCTGCCTTCATGGCAAACCTGGCTCCCCTGTCCAAGCTCATCCTGTCAGGATTTATTAACACATGTAAGTCCACTTATTGATCTCTGGCTAGAGCTTTATCCCTCCAAATTGTCTGAGAAGGAAATTCCTTGGTAAATGCTAATAAAAAAGCATTTATAAAGTGCTCCGACGTACACATATCAACGACTAAGCCAATACATTGTTTGTTATAACCCTGTAGCCTGCAGTTTATAGCACAATTAGTTACAGGTTTTTATAGCATCTATTTAGTATTTTGAAGGAAAAAAAAAGAAAAAAAATGGTTATAAATATAATTGTTATATTCTATTGTACTTTATAGACAGAGGAAGTTATATTAGTAATAATAACAACTCTCACTGCTTCGACAGCATTTCCCAGCTCCCAGGAGAACCAGGGCTACAAAGAGCTACTTTCCCAAGAGCCCAGGAAGGGGTAGGTGGTGGTGGTGGCACCCTGGGTGCAGGCAGGGGACCCCAGGCAGGAAGATCCGAGGTGTCCAGGCGCAGGGATCGGAGCACACGGCAGCAGCCACGAGCGCCCCGCGGCCCTACTCACACCTTACCACAGATTTACCACTCACCCAGCACCACCCTGGTCCTGCTGAGAGCAGCCTGGGCCTGCCACAGCCTGGGATGCCCCCACTGCTGTGCCCAGGGCAGTGCCAGGGCTCTGCCCCCGTGCTCGTGGAGGTGATGCCTGGGTTTGGATCGGCCCCACCAAGGATGCTTCCCTCTCCCCCTCCTCCTCCTCCTGCCCCACTGAGCATCCCAGTTGCCTGGACTTGGCTTCCCTTTCCCCCCTGGACTCCTTGTTGGAGATTCCCGAGGTGTCTACACAGCCTGTGATGCCCTGCACCTCCTTCTTTGAAATTGAATTAAAAATCAGGTCTGTCCCCCTTGTTCTGTACCAGCCTCAGGAGTGTTTTTGCTGGCAGGTTTTGCATTCCCCGAGTCCCAGGGCTCACATTTGCAGCTCCTCTGCAGGGAAGTGGGGCTGAATTCATCCTCTCACGGAAAAGGAGACTCTCCTGGGCATTGTGGTGTTCTCAGAGGGACGTTTGCTGTGCCCACATCAGGATTTTCCTCTCTCCCTCCCCACCCACGCAGAAAAGACGTGGAAATAGAGGAGTTTTGGCACAACTCTATTGCACAAAGAGCATTGCTGGGGGCTCGGGTGCAGCACTGTGACCCTTGGTGACATCCAGCACCCCAGAGGGGACCACGGCCACCACAGGGGTCAGTCAGCAAGGGTCCCCTCGTGTGACCCTCCAGCTGAGTGAGCCAAGCACTCACAGAGGCTCTTGGCACTGTCAGACCGAGCTCGCTGGTCCCGTGGTGCAGATGGGGAACACTGAGGTGCGAGATGGTTTTTATGGATGTCAGGGACGGGGTGTCCCCTCTTCAGGGGGGCTAAACCCTTCCTCCTGCAGAAAACATCCCGCTCTCTCAATCTGGGGCTGGATTTTTCCACCCAAACCAGTGCAAAAGCGCCTGCTTAGCAGGATTACAGTACAGAAAAAATCCATTGGGAAGGGGGAGGTGCAGCTGAACCCCCCGGGCTGTCTGGGAGCAATCCCACCGCGCTGCCCGGGGACACCTGGGACATTGCAGCCCCACCTTGAGCTCCAGCCCCGCTCCCCCCTGTGGAGGGAGGGGTCCGTCCGTCTGTCCGTCCATCCGTCCATTCCCACGGGCTCTCGGGCTGGGCTCAGACCCACGACTCCTCATCATCCTCGGTCAGCCAGGTGCCGCTGTCAGCCAGGGGCGGCTTGGCCGTGGGGCGTGTGCTGCCGGCCTGGGGGGCTCGGGGGGGCGCCGGGGGTCGGTGCTGGCCCCGGGGGGCAGGGGGGCGATGCCCCAGCGGGGTGGGGATGCGGGAGGGCCGCTTGCCCGGCCTGTGGTCCCGCCGGGGACGCACCTTGGGCCGCAGCTTGAGCTTGTAGATGGAGGGCACACGCTCGGGCTTCTTCAGGCACCGCCGGGGCTTGGCGGCGTTGTTGGCCCGGGGTGCCCGCGGGGTCTGGCCCCCCACCCCCGGCCGCTCTGCCTCCCCCGGGGCTGCGAGCTGCGGGGCCGCTCCTGCGGGGCTTTTGGGGACCTGGCTCCACATCCCCGCAGGGCGCAGCGGCTGCGGCCCGCGGGAGAGCTCCTCCAGCACCCTGTCATAGCCGGGGGGCTGCGTGTTCCCGCAGCACCCCCGGAGCCCCCCGGCCCCACCGTCAGGGCCACAGGCTCCCCCGGCCCGAGGTCCCTCAGCGCCCACAGCCCTTGTATTCGGGGCTGGGTGGCACTGCCGTGTCCCCTGGGGACCGTCCCCCGCGGCACAGACCTTGCACCCCCCTGCAGAGCGGCCCGGAGGGGTGGGGGGCCGGGGAGCGGCCGGGCTGGCTTTGGTGGGGGGTTTAACGCCGCTGTCCGTTTTCGGGGGTTGGCTGCAGGAATTTCGGGGTGAGGGCTGTCGGCCCCGGCCAAGGGCTCCCTGCCGCCCTTCCCGTGGGCTCTTCAGGCTCTGGGAGTCTCCCGGAGCATCCCGGTGCGAGGAGGGGGGGCAGACCTTTAGGGGACTGGGGGCACGGACCTTTAAGGGGCTGGGGGCTCGGGGTGTCGCGGTGGTGGGTGTCCCCGTTTCCTGTGGCCTGGCAGCCAGCCCAGATGATTTTCCTCCTTGCTGGGCGCTTCTGGGAGGTGCCGGTGCCGTCCGTGGGCCGGGCGCTGCGGACCTGCCCCGTGCCGGTGCCGCAGGGATGGGTTTCCCCGGGCCGGTGCCTTGCGGTGCCCGGGGCACCCCCGCGCCGTTCGGGAGGCTCAGCCGGGAAGGAGTGGCTGCCCGGCCCCTCGCCCCGTGCCCAGGGGAGCTGGACCGAGCAGGTGAGCGGGATGGTGGCGGCTGCCTCCCCAAAGGGACAGCGGGTGGCTCCCGCATCCTGCAGGGAGAGACAGGAGAGGGGCCAGGGAGCTGCTGCATCCCCCCCGTCCCGCCTGGTGCTGGGCACATCCAGAAGGGAGGGGGGAAAAATTCCAAGGATGCTCCAAAACCTGCTCTGAAGCCAGGCATTTTGGGGCACGAAGCACCTCTGCAGCACTCACCTGCCCGAAGGGACCCTCCGGGGCTCCGGGTGAGGGCTGGCAGCCGGCTGGCGACCCGAGCCCTCTGGCGAGGGGGTGGCAGGGCACCGGGAGGCAGGGGGGACACGGGCCCCCCAGGTGACGGGGGGCAGGGGGCTCTGGGAGCGGCTGACCAGCAGCGCGGGCTGGGGGCTGCGGGCGGCCGGGCACAGCCGCACCTCGTGCTGCACTTGCTGCTGCGGGCTCCGGGCTTTCCAGGCTTGTTTGTGAGCTGTAGGGACAACGACGGGGGCTCGGCACTCCTGTTCCCTTCACCCACCCCCGTGAAGCCCACCCAGCCGTGGCTCAGCATCCAGCCCCCGGCGGGTGCCAGCAGAAATCTGCGCTCCCTGCAAAGCGGCTTTTGGGGTCCGGCTCCGTCCAAAAGTCTTCCATGACCTCTAGTGGCCACCAAAGCCAAAGAAAGTCCCCAAAACCCGACATTCCCCGGCAAAACAACTAGGCATGGCCGTACCAAAGCCTCCCGCTAATGAAAACATCCCCGAGAAGCATCGAGACCAGCCACAGACCCCCCCGCCCTCAGCCAGCCGCGGGGTTTGGGGAGCGGGGACTCACAGAGCGAGGTGCAGCGACACGGGTCGTGCTTGTCCAGGTAGTGCTCCAGCGTGTCCCAGCCGCCCCCGACCCGCACCATGACGTGCTCCCGCAGGACCTGCCCGGGAATGTCCATGCCAGGGGACAGCAGCAGCCTGGGGGTGGCACGCTCGGCCGGGCCTCCAGAGCTGTGGCTTGCCCTAAGTGCCACCGGGTGTCCCAAAGGACGGCCGCGTCCCTGGCCCAGCTGCTGCGGCCATCCCGACAGATTTATTTTGTCACCACAAAGAGGGTGAGGGACCCTTATGGAAAGTCCCTTTGTCGTGTGCTGAGTTCTTTGGCCTGGCTTGGGGATGGATTCAGAGCATCCCAGTGCTCCCATTGCTGGGTGAGAGCAGGCTGTGGCTCTGTGGGATGTCAGGTTTTGTCCCACACACATGGATGGTTAAATCCATACCAACATCTGTCACAGGGCTGAGCTCCCCTGCTGCCCTGCTTTGGGAATAATGACCAGAACTCCCACATGGGCCCCTTTTGGGGGATTGTGGAAAAGGGGTCATGGCAGCAGAGCAGAATTCCTGATGCTTTTCCCCTAAAAGCAGGGGTGAAGCAGACTCACCCGGACAAAGATGAGGGTGTCAGAGTCCCCCACTTGGTATTTCCCTTCGGAGATCTTGATCATGGGGAACTGCACAGGGCAGGTACAGCGGCTCACCAGGTGCTGCACCTGCGGGTGGCAGGGATGGATCCTCACCAGGGCTGCTGGGAAAGGTCCTGGGGTGGCCATGCCCACCCTCATCCATCTCCATGCCACCACCATCCATCTCCATGCCATCCCCATCCAATCCACCTCCATCTCCATCCCCATCCATCTCCATGCCCATGCCCATGCCCATCCCCATTCATCTCCATCTAATCCATCTCCATCCCCATCCATCTCCATGCCCATGCAATCCATCTCTATGCCCATCTCCATCCCCATCCCTCTCCATGTCCATCCACCTCCATGCCCATCCCCACCCCCATCCCCATTCATCTCCATGCCCACTCCTATCCATCCACATCCCCATCCATCTCCATCTAATCCATCTCCATCCCCATCCATCTCCATGCCCATCCAATCCATCTCCAAGCCCTCTCCATGCCCCCATGTCCCCTGATACCATCTGGTCGAGGTTGTTGAGGTCCCGTGCTCTCCTGGGGGCCCGGGGCAGGGTGGGCTCAGTGGGAGGCAGGTCCAGCCCCTGCCGAAGCTCCTCCTCGATCTCCTCCTCCATCTGCACCAGGGTCGGGGCGCGCATTCCGAAGCGGGAAGCGTGGCGTGCCAGCTCCAGCAGGCACAGCACGAAGTTCTTCTCGTTCTTCCTCAGCACCAGGTCCTCTGTCTCGAACATCAGGACATCTGGGCAGGGCAGGGCAGGGCTGAGCCAGGGCTGGCACGTGGGGATGGGGACAAAGGGGATGGGGGGCACAGATGGAGGAGGCAAGACCCACCCAAAAGGGTGCTCTTCACTGGAGCCATCCCACCAGGAGTATGGCTGGGTTCAACAGGAGTTGGGGTAAGTGATAAAGGGGGAAGAGCCTTTCCTTTTGGGCATCTACAGCTGTTTCATGGCATCCCAAAGCCACAAAACTCAGTGTCTGAGTGCCCTGAGGATGTCTTGCTCTGTGCCACTCCCCTTCCTGGGCATCCATGGTGGTAGGACAGGGTGGCGGATGCTTTGCTCAGAGCCAGGACTTCTCCTGCTGTCCTTAGGGCTGGGATCATGGCTGTGCTGGCAGGGACACACTGTGCCATCCACCCTTTACATTGCCACTCCTCCTGTGCATATTTGCACCCAAATGCAATGGTGCCAGCACTCTGCAAAGCTGCTGCCAAGCCTGGAGGACCTTGTACAAGGGATGCCAGCTCAGGGATGCTGGCACACAGTGCTGTCCCATGTGCTGGCTTTGGGGGACACATGGCAAAACACGGAGTGGCTGGAGGGGACTTGAGCACAGAGACATGGGACAGCTGGAGCCTGGCATCCTACCTTTGATATCCATCTCCTTCCTGCACCAGTGGATGAAGTTGGAGACGTTGTCCCTGGCCTGGAAGGTGCCTGGCTGTGCTGTGAGGTTGCAGGGGACACCGGCCGTGGGCAGGTGGAGGCGCTGGGCCACCTCGGGGCAGGCACGGGCGAACTCCCCGGCCACCTGGGTGACGTGGTTGGCGTGGGAGCACAGCACAGCCCCCGTCTCCAGCACCTCCAGGAAGGTGCCCACCTCGATGTCAAGGTCGTAGAGCTCCTTCAGCCACTCTGCCAGGTCCTCCTTCATGGCATACAGGTACTGCCCGCTGGACTGGTAGGGATGGATGCTCCGTGCCCGCTGTCCCCCACATTCTGCCATAAGACTGGGAGGAGGTCGAGGGAAAGGGATGATGGGGACACAGGGAGCTGCCCCAGCCCTGTCCCCAGCACACCTCCCGGCAGCCACACTCACCTGGTGCCACACGGGGTGGTGGCAGTGTCCCGGGGGTGCCCAGAGCCCTGCTGGGGTCCCAGGGCTGCAGTGCTGCTGCAGAGAGGAAACCACCCTCCTGGGCAGTGGGTGTTTTGTTTCCTTCCCAAGTGCTGATCACTTCTCCTTGGTGACAAGGGACTGGCTGCAAACACTCCCTGTTAACCCTTCAGCACCTGCTCCTCTCCCACAGCCCTGCTCCTCCCCAGCCATGCCAGGGGTGGATTTTCCCCCCAAGGGCCCTGGCTCCGGGGCAGGAAGGAGTCAGAGAGCAGCTCCTCAGCACCCGGGTGGCTCCCAACCACACGAGGGGGATTTTCCCCCTTCCCCAAACCCCTACACCCACCTCCACCACAGGTGAGGTGCCCTGGGGGTCACAAGATGCATCCTCAGGGCAGCCTCAAGGTGAGGAGGGTTTATTTTCACACCCACCTTTGGGCTTGCTCTGCTCTCTGCTCCTTTCCAAACTCCTTCCCTCACTACCCGCAGCAGTGAGGTCTTTGGGAAAAGCCAAGCTCCTGCAGGGATGGAGTGACTCCAGGAGTTGGGGCTTTAAGGAAAGAGCTGCACATGAGTGGGCACCTCTGGGAATGTGGGATACTCCCTCCCTAAGCCAGGCCTTGCAGAGCTGCCCCAGCACTCAGGTACTTCTGCAAATAACAAACCTGCCAGGGAAGTGTTCACGCCTCGGGACCAAACCAGAGCCTCTCCTGGGCTTTGAGGGGCTCCCTGCTGTGGTGGGGGACCCATCCTGTCCCTGCAGCCAGCTGCTGATGTCACTGCAGCTCAGTGTCCAGCCGGGGTCATTTTGGGGGAGGGAATGCAAGAATCCCAGCTATTCTGTTTGGGAATGTGTGGCAGGCCGGAGGAGTCTGAGTCTGATGTGCCCAGCCAGGGAGCCCAGCAGGAGAAAAGAACCCTTGAGAAGCTGGATTTCCATCCAGGGCACCCAGGGGGGTGGATTGAAAGGCTCAGGGTGTGAGTTCACCTCCCCCAGGCCCCCCGGACTGATGGGGTACAGGGGACACAGTAGAGTGACCCCGGCTGCCCCTGCCAGCAGTGCTGAGCTCAGCCCAGCCCTGGCAGCATCACAGGGCCCCAAAACATCCCACAGGACACAGCCCCTGGAAACACATGGCAGCAAGCCAGGGAAGAGATGGAAAACCCAAAAAGGGGAGAGGATTTGAGGCGGTCCCACCCTCAGCCTCCAGTCACACAGCAGATGGGATGCCTGGCTTTCTGCTAAGGGGACAGGAAAAGGGATAATGAATGAATTCAACCCAGGCAAAAAACCTATTAACACATCCCAAAGTGTGGAAAAATCCTCAGTAATTTGGGGATGAAGTAAGAAAGAGAATTCCCATGTTTCCATGGCCATCAGTGAGTTTTCAGTGGGATCCATCTCCCCTCTTTGGTCCTGCCAGCATGAAAGCTGAGGCCAGATTCAGCAACCCCCCTTCCAACCCCAAACACCCACAGGCATCTTAAACACAGCCCTGTCAGGAAACTGGAGATTTGCTTAAAAAAAACCAACCCAACCCCAAAGCGTGACATGAAAACAAGCACAAAACCCCAATACCACAAATCCAGAGGTTGGTTTTATTTGCTGTCAGGTCTCCAAGCCCTTGGGACTCCCTGCAGGCCACGTCACCTCAGTGTCATTCAATTCCTATGGCAATGTGTGTTTCTCTGGCAACGTGGAAAGTCCCCTGAGGTTTTGGGCAGATGAAGACCCTGTGTCTGTGTCTGCACATGAAGGGCTCACTCACGAGTGTTCTGGAGAATGGGAGGAGTGCTGGCTCCCCGTCCTGCCAAACCCACAGCTCAGCTGGCATCGGGCAGCACCGAAAGCCCTCGGAAGTACCAGCCCTGGCACCCTGCTTAGGGCAAGCCCTGCTCTGCAGGGAAGGTCTGGAAAGGGCAAAGATGAGGGAAAGAGGAATCCTGGAAGCTGCTGGCATCAGGAGGGCACCCCAGCACAGCACCCTGACAGTGCAGCAGGACCAGAGCAGTGCTGGGCTCTGAGTCCAGGCAGAACCACCGCATAAATGGTTCCAATAAATCATTTCATAAAGCTGAGCCCTGTCTCACTCAGCACCAATGCCTCAGAATTCCAGCCCTGGGAAGCTGAGGTCCATCCCCAGCCCTGGGACACGATGGCCCTTTGCAGACACGACTGGGGACCCTGCCCAGGAGCCAGCAGCGTTTCCAGGTGGGGAGTCTGCCTTGGGAAAGGAATGAGGAATATGCAGCCACACAGTCCCTGGGAGCCTGCATGCACAGACATGTCCCTCTGTCCTGCTCACCCTCTCCTCTTCCCCTCCTCCCCCAGTTATTTGTCACCCCCGTTCATCCGGGTGGGGCCCAGGGAGTCAGGAATTCCCTGATCCCGTGTCCCTTGCAGAGGCAGCGGAGCACAGGCACCTTCTGTGCACACAGTGAGGGCTGCCAGGTGAGCACAGCCCTTGTCAGACACGGGAGACCCCACCCAGGCACCCCAAACCCATCCAAGGCAATGCTCCTGCTGCCTGTGAGCTGCAGCTCAGCTGAGCCCCCCCTTTCTCTCCACCCCAAAGAGGCTCCTGCACCAAACCCCGCTGCTTTCAGCCCAAAATCCCACTGTGGTGGTGTCTCCAGCTGGTGCCTCAGCAGAGCACTGGGATGTGAGCACAGCCCAGCAAACATCCCCAACCCTCCATAGCCCGGGGTCTGAACAAACAGCAGGGGCAAAGCTCCACACCGACCCAAATTTTTGTCCAAATGTCTCCTTTCTTTTGGTTTTAAGCAGGAGACATTTTCAGTCTGTTACTGAAAACCATCTGAACCCCAAAGCAAGCAGCAGCAAGACACTTCTGCCTGATCGTGGGAAAATGACAGGTATCAACAAGTATCAACAAAGATATCAAACAGCATCACCAAACCCCAGTCCTGGCTTGAAAAACGTGTAACAATATCCTGAAAGTAAACAGAAATGGGTGTGTTTGCAGTCCCCGTGGCTGATACATTTTTCTGCAGTCTGTTATAAAAAAAACACTGTCCCAAAGGCAGCAGCCACCTGGCTGTGCCACACCTGTCCCAGCTGCAGCCGAGCTCTGCTGGGTCGCTGCTCCACGGCTCCAACAAGCAGCCAGTCCCTGCCCCAGCATCCCGACAGGAACCCGGAGTCACACCCGGGGGATGCAGAGCCCCGCTCCATCCCATCCCATCCCACCGCGCTCAGAACAGGACCTGCTCACTGTTGGCATCCCAGCAGCCCATCCAGGCGAGCTGCGTGGCCCATTTGCCGGTGGCCACCACCTGCAGCTTGGCCTGGTCGAATTTCCAGTAGCGGTCATCCCGAAAGAAGTAGACGGCGCGGTCGCGGTGGGCGAGCGCCCCGGCCGTGCCCGGGGGCAGCCCGGCCCAGTCCCGCAGGCTGCGCGGGTAGTAGGGCTCCACGCCCAGCGGCTCCTCGCCCACCACGAAGTACTTGAGGCCTTTGAAGAGGACGAGCCGCCGGAGCTGCTGGAAGTAGAGCGCGGTGTCCGGGTGCCGGGGGAGCCCCAGGGCGCTGCATTTGCGGGGGAATCCTGCCTCCAGCGAGGAGCCCGCGTAGCGCCAGCAGCGGCCGCCTGCGGGGAACGGGAGGGTTAGAGCCCCACGGGACCCTGGCAGGATGAGCTCCAGGAGATGGGGACAGGCTCGGCCACAAGACTCGGGACCAGCCTTGTGAAGTGTCAGTGACATCCATCCCTCTGGTGACCCAACCGGAACCACTGTGGGGCTGCCCCAAGGACCAGGCTGGGGGGAAACTGAGGCACGGCAGCTCAGGGGCTTGAAGGCATGGAAAGGGACCACCAGGGACAGAGCAAGGCCACCACCATGCTGCTTCTGGCAAACCTCCCCCAGACGCTGTACAGCGAATGGGACAGACAGAAACAGATCCAGCCGAGGATGGGGCATCCAAAACCAGCACTGCAGCAGGAATTGAGATGGGGACCGGTGGCTTGGCTGTCCCCACAGCACCCTGTCCCCACAGCAGGGCAGACAAAAGCCCCTTTCTGCTCACAAGGCACAGCCTGACGCAGCCCTGGGGAGGACGCAGGGAGTGGAGAGGGCTGGGGAGGCAGAGGGGCTCTGGCTCTCAGCCAGCTGCAGCACAAAGCCCCTTTTCTGAGCCACCAGGCACTGCTTGCCTTTAAAAGCTGGGGCTGACCCTGGCAGCCAGGCTGCCTGGTGTGACCTTCCTGTCCCCATCTGGCTGCTGGGCAGCTCAGGGATGGTATCCCAGCTCCTGGGGCAGCTCATGGATGGTATCCCAGCTCCTGGGGCAGCTCAGCCTCCAGGCACAGCACAGGGATCCATGTGCACTGTGAAACTCCCATGCACCCCCTTGCACCTCGTGTTTTGGGGAGCAGGTTCTCAACTGCACCTGGATTTGTTTTGACACTCCTGATGGGGAAACTGAGGCACAAGGAGGTGATGTGACTGCCAGGGCCATGTGGTTCACCCCTGACAGGGCACCGAGCCCAGGGTTTTGCACACCCAGGACGCAGCAATGCCCCAGCTCTGCACTGGGAGGGGACCAGCAGGAGGGGACACAAACAGGAGTGGTGTGGCTCCAGCCAGACCTGCACAGCCACACCGGCAGGAGCAGTGGCAGCCCCGAGGGGAGTCCCCTGCCCAGGCCTCACCCACCTTTGAAGAAGTAGAACTTTCCAGTGAGCTGGGACCAGGCGCAGGCGTCGATGCCGGCGGGGAGGCCGGGCCAGCGTGGCTGCAGTGGCCGCGGGTCACTGGCATTGCCACTGGCTGACACCACCCAGTAGTGGCTGCCCTTGAAGATGTAGAGGTTGTGATCCCCGTCTGTGCGGCAGAGGGAGGGTGCCCCAGGTGAGAAATGTTATTGAACCACCCTCCACTGCTACCCAGACCCCCTCTCCTCCCCGTGCAGCCCCCTGGTGCTTTGGGGATCCTCGGGGTTTGGATGCTTCCTCCTGCCCTTCCAGCCACCCCCTCAGCTTCCAGAACCCATTGCCTGCCCTCCAGGCATGAGAGGATAAATGCTGGCCACAGTTCAAGGCTTATCCTGCACAGCTGAGCTCCTGCAGTGATTAATCCTTGCCATGGCTCAAGTTTTAGGGCATTTTCCCTACTCCTGACACATTGCTGTGCCCTCAAGGTGCACTGTGCTTCAGTGATGCCACCAGTGCCAGCAGCTGTGGACCAGTCAAACCCACCTTTCCCTCCACTGGGAGCTGCAGCAGCACTGGGACAAGGGCTAGGGGTGCACATTTTGGGAGGGGGTCACACTGGCCAGCACCCACCGGCGGTTATGGCGTCGAAGAAGGAGTGGCAGTAATAGGTGCTGAGGCTCCTCTGCTGTCGGTCCCTGCCGTAAAGGTCTGTGTTCCAGTCCTGGAAGTGAGTGAAGACCTTTCCTGGGAGCTGGACGGCCGAGCCCTTGGAGGGCTTTCCTGGGATGGAACAAGGGGTGATGAGTCTGGAGAAGGGACAGAGAAACAACTTTTCCCAAAGCACAGGGCTGGGACTCCCAAGACTCCAAAGACTCCGAGTCCCAGTGTCTGGCTCCTACCCCACTCTACATGATGGTGGCAAAAATCCCTTGGTACCCCAAAAAACATGCACTAGCAGACAAGTGGGCAGCAAATCCAACCTTCCCTGCCCTGGAGGCCCTGGCACTGTCCCACCTCTCCTGCATTTTCCTCCCCAGCCACACAGAGGAACGGGGCCCATGTGACTGCAGTCCTCTCCCTGCTCCCATCCCTCCTGCTCGCTCTCCACCCCAGAGAACCACCCTGGAGGAACCAAGGAATGCTCAGGGAAGCCAGGCTCACCATACAAATTCTGGATGGCCAAGATGTCATCCCAGCTGAGGACAAAATCCTTGCTGAGCTTCTTGTAGTAGGGGGACATCAGGGCGCTCTTGACGGGCGAGTGCTGCAGCCCCAGCGTGTGCCCGACCTCGTGGGCCACCACGATGAAGAGGTTGCGGCCCTTGCCGCTGTGCAGGGACCAGCGCTCGGCGCTGTCAAAGTGGGCTTCTCCTCGCCGGGGGAAGAAGGCGTGGGCCAGGGCACCTCCTGGGGACATGAGAGCCATCAGGGACCGCGGCACACGCAGCTCTGGTTTGCCCGAGTGCGCGTCAGTTTTGGGTCTTTTCGGAGGAGCTCGTGCTTGGAGGGTGGTGTGGGGCTCCTTGAGGAACATCTCAGCCGCCTTGCTGGCGGCCCTTAGTTGCAGAGTTTGGAGGGGAGACCCCAAATCAGACAGCAAACTGGTGCAAACTGCGCTGGAGAGGCTGCTGAGCCCATCACCCCCAGCCCACCACACCCCAGCCCTCCTCCCTGCGGGGGAAGAGCCCACGTTGTAAAAGAGAAGCTTACGAGGGGGAAGCGACCAGCACCTGGCCCATCGAAGGCGTTGTTGAGCCCGTCGTTGTGGTCCCCGTGGAAGAAGGTGAGGCGGATGTCGGCGGGGCCCTCCTGGGCCTCCCAGAAGAGCAGGGAGGACACGTTGCTCCAGAGCTGGAAGGCGGCTCTGACGGCCAGGCGCACCTCGTGCTGCGGCAGGTAGGACGGCCAGTTCACCACGCGGTACCGCAGCTGCCGCTTCGGCCAGCGCCCTCCTGCACCCCAACAAGGCCGCCCCCCAGAAATTATATGATGAGGAGGACTCCATCTCATCAGAAGGCTAATTAATTGCTTTATTATACTGTATTATTGTCCTAGATTGCATGGCAAGGTGTGTTCTATTTGCCATCTGTATGGCAGCTGTCTTCTGTTCATTGGGCAGTTTTCCTTATCTCTTCCACATCCACTCCTCCCTCAGGGGACATCTGCTGATAACAGGCTATGGAATGTCACTGCATGGCTGATAAGAACTACATTGTGGGATGCTCCACCCAGAGGCAGGAGCCAAGCATTCCTACCTGGATATAATCTGAGATTCTGGAACACCAGCACGGCTTCTCCACTGGATTTCCCAGAGGAACATCTGCCCCTTCCACTGGATCTTCAGAGGAAGACTCCACCCTTCTACAGGACCCCTGCTCCAGCAGAACCACACCTGACACTCCAGGAGAACTGCAGCCACAATTCCAATGGGACTGCTACCAGCACCCTGACCCACAGGGTGTCAGGCTGTGCTCTGACTCTGTCAGTGTTGTTTCAGTTTACTGCATTTTTTATTTTATCCTTTTATTTACTTCCCTATTAAAGAACTGTTATTTCCTGCTCCTATATTTTTTGCCTGAGAGCCCCTTAATTTCAAATTTATAGCAATTCAGAAGTGGGGAGGGGTTTATATTCTCCATTTCAGGGGAGGCTCCTGCCTTCTTTAGCAGGCACCTGTCTTTCCAAACCAAGACAATTATTCCATCTTATATTACATCTAAACTGAATTTGCCAAGCACCCAACTGCACTGAACTGCACAGCATCTCGTGACTGTCAGCTGGCAGTCCTGACACACACACATGGATTCAACTGGTCAGTGAATCAAACACTCACACCAGAATCCCTTCAGGTAAACAATCTTCCACAATGCATTCCACTTGTGAACAACAAATGAGACAAGAATTGTTTTGATCATTCTTTTCTCTGCTTCTCTCAGGTTCAGAGAATGTGAATCCCACACACCTGCATCAGGATGAGCTCAGAGTGGCAACTTGGGCTCGTCCTTCCACCCAGGAGCTGCCTGAGTGGAAGAAAACTTCATGGAAATGTCGTGGTTGGGCCAAGGTAAAGCTGGAAGTTGAGGCAGCTGCAGCACCACGATTAAATCTTTCTGAAGGTGCCACCACTAGAGCCCACCCAAGGCTGGAAACCCTGAAACCTCTCTGAGGAGATGAGAAGTTGTGGCACCAAGTTTGAACTCAGCCTTTGGCTCACAGAGCCAAATCCAGCACAGGTCCCTGCTAGGAGGTCTGCTGCCTGATGCCAGCCTCAAGGCCAGGGCTGGATTTCAGGGAGAGCAATCAAAGCCACCTCTGAAAAGGTGGGAAAAGGCAAAGGAGTGGGAAGGGCTCTCAGCAGCACCTTGGGGGCACAGCTTAGTGCCCAAGGCTTCCTGAAAAGCTGTCAGGGGAGACAGAGCCCTGATGCTACAGGGACAGCTGGGGACCAGCAGGAAGGGAACAAGCACTGTGACTCCCCCTAAGCTCCCCAACCCCCCTACCACACAGGAGGGCAAAGATGAGAGTTCACATAGTTGCTGAGCAGCATTACAGCCCCTTCCTCCTCCTCCTCCTCCAGCACCCCTCGGCAGCTGTGGGACCCCAGAGCCCTGGGATTACATTTGTCTGGAGGCATCTGGGAGCAGGACAAAAGCCGTGGGGCCCTGGGGGGATGTGGGTGCCAGAGCTGGTGCTGAGGCGTGGGAGTGGGGCCAGACCTCCAGCATCTGCCTCTGCTCCAGATGTGCAGGCAAACAGGGGGAACAGAGCCGGCAGCACACCAGGGCTCACTGCCCTGGCTCTGAGCTGAGCCTCCCTGGCACACATCCCACCCCAGCTCTGCCTCCTTCTCCCCATGGCTGGGGACACTCTGGGCTAGCTGGTCACACTCCTGGGGACAGAACCAGCTCCCACTGCTTGTCAGGGCAGTCATGGCCTCCAGCTCCAAAGGGATACAGAGCTTCCACTCTGCACAGCAAAAGCTAAAAGCAGCCCTAAAACAAAGCCTGGCACACCATCCTTCCCTCCACAGGAGCAGAGCATCCACCACCAGAGGAGGATGGGCAAGGCTGGCTTAGCAAGGCTGGCTCTTGGGAAGAGGAGGGCTTGGCTTTGCCCCCGTGCTGGGTTCTGAGTGTGCCCCAAGCCAGCAGGGTGAGGGACACAGGGGCTGCCCAGGGGAGATCCCGCTGGGAAAGGGTGGATAACAAAGCACAGCTGCCAGGGTTTCCTGCTTCAAGCAGGATAAACAGCACAAAGCCCTCCCCAGCCTTCCTGGCCGGTGCCACCAGCCCTGCAGCACCCCTGGTGCCATCCAGCCCATGTGGTGCTGTCCCATCCCTGCTGCCTGTGGCATCAGATCACCAGAGCAACAACCAGTGCCACACTGAGCCCTTTCTGCCCTTTCCTTGAGCCATTGGGCATCTCTTGCCACCCACCCACTTTTTGTGGTGCCCAAAAAGGAGCCCCATGAGCCACAGGGCACTGGCTGCTTCTGCCTGCCCACCTCCTGCTGTATGTCCTCGCTGCTCTGCTCACTGCCCACGTGTCCTGGGCTCCTGCAAGGGACGCATGTTGGGGCTTTGGAAGGAAATCCAGAGGCTGGAGGAGGATAACAGGGCTCTCCTGGGGCTGTCCATGGCCAGCCCTGCCAGATGCACAGACAGCCTGACACGGTACAGAGCCTTTTCTTAATCTCCCCTTCGTTTTTCCCATGTCCTAAGCACAGCTGGCCCTGGCCCTCTTGCTCTCTAGGAATCCAGTTACTCATCTGCAAGCCCAAAGAGAGCTCACAAGGGACGAGAGGCTCAGTCCTGGCCACACAGGAGCACAGAAGGATGCTTGGAGCAGAGTTAAACCCCTTAACATGGGTGAAATGACTCTCGGGTCAGGCAGCCAAGTGCTGGCAGGTTTTTGGTTACTGCTGTGTCCCTAATATGCATGACAAGTCCCAAAGGTCAGCAAAACCTGGAGTTCACTGTGTGCCTTCCCCTGCTCTCCAGATCATGCCAGCCCAGCTGGGTGTGGGGCCATGGTGACCTGAGTGCTCTCTGGGAGATCTCCTGGCTCCCACAACAGCAGTAAAACCACCCCAGAGTGCTGAATTCCCCAACACTGGGAGTGGAATCTCTAATCACAGCTGCCATCAAGCCACACAGACCAACTGAAAATAAAAGAGCTTTAAAAATAACCTCCGGGCATGTCCTGGGCTGGATGCTGCTCCAGCGGGGCTGCACCTCCCACCCACAGCAGCTTCCCCACGAATCCAGCACGGGAGAGCCGAGCCCCCAGACCCCAAAGGCCCCCGGGAGCCCCGGTGCCCACCGTGCTGTGCCGTGCGCCTGCGGCGCCGGGCGGGCGGCGCCCCGGCGGCGCGGCTGTGCCCGTCATCCGTGCCACACCTGGGCAGAGCCATCTGATGGAGCGTGGCGGCATCCAGCACCCCGCTGGGCGGCAGGTGGCTCACCCGCTGGAAACCCCTGCAGAAGGAAGGGAGATATCAGCAGCCACATCCAGGCCCCCCGTGGGGGGTTTGGGTGTTTTTGTTCGTGCCGGGGGTTTGACCCGAGCCAGGATTTTCACCCTGCAAGCTTCAGACCCCAGCGGCAGAACTTCATGCAGGTGGCAAAACAAGAAGGATTTGGCTCTGCAACCACAGCTGACCTGTAAGTCACCTCCTAGCAGGGCAAAGGAGCCTAAAAATGGAGCCTAAGAATCACCTTTTCCAGTTTTTAAGCCGTTATTTGACTTCGCATTTAATTTTGCATTTGGCTTTGCACGAGGATGCTCCCAGAGCCGAGGTGATGTCCTTAGGAGAAGCCCAGGCAGGAGCTGGCAGCTCGCCCCCCCTGACATCTCCCAGCCGTCCCCAAGCTCGGCCTCCCCGCAGATTTTATTGCAGGCGAGCTCCGGGCCATAAAAGGCAAATAAAGCAGCGAGAGCCGGGTGCCAGCAGCCGGCACCCAGCTGTGGGACCGGGCCCGGACCCGCCTCTGCAAAAAGGACTGCCTGTGCTTTAGCATCAGACCGTGAGGCACAGAGCCTCCAGCTGCGAAAAGACCCCTCTGGCTGCAAAAAAAAGCCCCTCGGGGTGCTGGCAGCATCCCTGCAGCTGGAGCTGGCGAGTTTGGAGCGCAGCGTTGGATGAAAGGCTCCTACCTCAGCGCCCTGGTGAACTCGGCGGGGCTGTGTGTGCCGGGGCCCCGCTCCCTGAAGTAGCCGTATTTCTCCAGGAAGAGCTGCAAGAAAAAATGGGAAAGGTGCAGCTCAGAGCACGTGTTGGCTTGGGAAGGGGGGGAAAAAGGAGATGAGGCGGCAAACAGTGCTGCAAACCCAAACTGCTGCTGGGAGTTCTGCACCTCAAGCAGCCGTGCCCGTACAGTTCCTGTGTCTCCTCCCCATCATTTCGGATGGCTCTGGGGGTTTTTGGCCACGACACAGGAGGGAACGAGAGGCATCAAAACCCTCTGCTGCCATCTCATCCGCAGCCAGAGGCGGCCAAAGGCACAGCTCTGATGGCCCCGCTCAAGGCAGGGACTCAAACAAAGGCCGAAGAGCCGTGCGGGGTGAGATGGGGTCAGGCTCAGCCTCCCCCGTCCCCTCGCAGGATGCGCTGCTGCAAAGTGGGGACGCTCCGGGCGCAATTTGCTTTGCCAAACCATTCTTCTTCTTATCGGCCGCTGACACGGACGGAGATTGCCTCTCTGAACTTGCTCCAGCACTTAAATTGTATGTTAAAGAAAATAAACGGCTCGGGCTGCTGGCCGGCTTTTGGAGGAGTTAATAGCCGGGTCACAGGAATGCTCCACGCCCGCCTGCCCCGCCGCCAGGGATGTCTGCGGGAGACAAACAAGCTGCCCAGCATCCTGTTAGTGCAGCAGAGCCGCAGTTACAGCAATGAATAACAACCAGAATAAAAAGTGAAAGTGGCGGCTTCCCCTCCCCGCATCCCAAAGGAGAGGTGTGCTGAGCACCAGGAATGCCGCGGCTGGCCCAGATAGCACGGCTGGTGCCCTCTGGGTGTTTTTAAAGCTGTTTCCCTTCCGGCTCATCTCGCGGGCTGGAAAAGGAAGGGGTTGGAGTGATGACCTCCTCTCAGTGCTGCTCCTGGCTGTGGGTGACCCAGCTCTCCTTTATGTCCCTGCAGAGGAGGCAGCAGGAATGGTTTGTGGATGTGGCAGTCCCGAGCCATGCCAGGGCCTCTCCCTCTCCTCCTCCTGCCCAAACCTTCTGCTTGCCTTGAACAGTCATCCTCATGTCATCCCCAAACACGTCACTCCTGCGTGGGCAGGCACACCCACGTGTGCTCTGCAGCCCTCACCTCCTCTAGTTTCACCTCCTCCACTTTCATCTCCTCCTTTACACCCCTTCCACCTGGAGCATCCCCCTCCAGCAGAGGACCAGCACAGATTCCTGCCTGGACACGCTCTCTACCCAGCCCCACACAAAGGATTTGGCTGGTTTTCCCACCAAAGCTGCCTGTCTCAGCTGGAGGCACCAGCAGCTCATCCCAGCAGTGCCAGGCTGCAGCAGCAAGAGCCTGAGCATGGCCAGAGCCTCCCAGACACCTCACAGTGGTCAGTGAGTCAGGATAAATCAGGCAAGTGCCACCCTGGCAGGGAGGGCATTGGTTTGTTTGTCAGGAGAAGCCACAACACCTCCGCCCAGGGTTTAGCATCCAGCCTGGGCTTGCATTCCCCAGCCACACCGGGATAACCCCACCCTCCCAGGGGTACCAGGAGGCCAAACCCAGCAGCAGCTGGATAGGCATGCAGGGATAGAGGAGCATCCTGGGTGGCTTGGAGCTCTCTGAGAGTACCTGGAGAGGAGAAGGGATCTCATCCTTTTCCGGATGGAGGAGCATCCTGGGGATGGGGTGGCTTGGAGCCCTCTGAGAGTACCTGGAGAGGAGAAGGGATCTCATCCTTTTCCCCTGTGCTTGTATTTTTATAAAGTTCTCTTCCAGAAGCACACAATCACCAGTTACATGGTGAATCACCAGTTACAGGGTGAAGATGCCAGTGGTGACATCACTGCAGGTAAATGTGAGCTGAGAACACCTGGGTGGAAAGTCCTGGCTCTCACATCACGGTCTGAGCCTTTTCTAACACGATTTTGCATTCTCTCAGCACAACCTGAAGCTCTTTCCTCGCCTGTAACCCAACACAATCCCGTCATTAAAGCGTGAAAATGGTTTTTCCTCACCATGATCTCATGAAGGCTTGAAACTCCATCTGGACACGTCAGGGTGCACAGTGAAAAAAGGAACCCCTGTCCCAGCAGCTGCTCTTGAGCAGCACCAGAAGGCACAAAGGCCACTGGCTTTATCATTCCTGCCCAGAGCTCCTTGAGCTTTGCAAGTCCAAGCAAAGCAGCATTTTCTCTGTGGTTTCTGACCTGTGTCAGATTGAGGTTCTCACACACAGGCACCAACTCTCCAGCTGCAAAACCATCAGGAGAAATTCTATTTCATTTTCTAGACACATCTGCTGTCAGCTAAGGGTGGTGGTGGTCCTGGAAACACAGAGCTGCAGGAGAGGGATGTGCTGATCCCTGTCAGGTATTTATCCGAGCACAGAGCATACAAACCCAGGGAGTTTTTGGGATCCAGGGGAACCCAAGAGCCCCATGCCACAGTGTCCTGTGCCCGAACCAGTGCTCAAGGCTCCCCCAGCACTGCACAACCCCCCAGAGCCCAGCCAGGCTCTGGCAGGGCTGGCTGGAATCTGGCACCAGCCCATTAAACCTCTCCAGAGGTTGCAACGCAAAGTCTGGCCGTGCTGGGAAACCCCCTCCCTCCTGCCCCAGACGGGAAAAATGCTCTTTTCCATACAATGGGAAAAGAAAAACAGCAGGAAACCAAGAGAAACATTAATATGAAATATGCCCAGCTCCTCCTCTGCACGAGGGAGGGAGGGAGAGGAGCACGGCGCTGGCTGCAGGGGAGCCGGGGCTGGGGCAGAGAACCTGCGGGGCTGCAGCAGGGACAGCAGGAGGAGGCTGCGGGACACAGAGGGGCCCTCCCCACCTCAGAGCTCTGATGTGGAGCCTGTTACAACCCTGGAAACCCTCTCTGCCTTGGCTAAAGCCAAGGAAACACCTTGCCCTCCACCACAGGCATCCCGGGTGGAAGCCAGCCAGCGGCAAACACAATTAGCGCTCCCAGCCTGGAAGCCGGGATAAGGAGAGTGCGAGACAGCAGGCTCCGCTCCTGCCCGCCCTCCCCTCCAGACACAACGCTGCTGCTGGCTCCTTTCCACCAGCTGAGTGCAGGGCAAGCCTCGCACAGCTCCTGCTGGCCGTGGTCCCTCTGCTCTGCCGGGTACAAACCCCATCCCTCCCCTCCATCCCCGGCAGCGCAGGGAAGGGATCCCATCCTGCCAAAGGCCAGGCCAAGAAGTGCTTATAATGTGTTGTAATTAAGAAATAGTTGGCTTCTGACTGTGATGGTGTGCATTATAACATCTGTGTTGTCTCACCCTTCACATGAGACTGAAAATAGAATAAAAACACCTCTCAGTTGCTCCATCTCTGGGTCAGAAAAGGGTTTAATCTGACACAGGTGTTTTGTGTCATGATTACAGGCAGTGCCATCACAAGATGCACCTTTAAAGGCTTTTGTTTGAAACCACGAGACAGCCCAGGTGGATCCTAAACCCCTGTTCCAGCATCCCTAGGCTCATCCCACATCATCTCACCGCCAAAATGGGCACACAGTGCTCCTGGTTTCAGCCTCAGTTTCCCCCAGCACACACACGAGCAGAGCCGGCCCGGGGCGTGTTTTGGCGTGGTCACAGAGGGAGCAGCGGCTTCTCCTGCCCATCGGGTCCCTGCCGCCTGCGAGCTGCCTCCAGGAGATGTCACAGCAATTAAAAACGCTCATTTGCTTCCGCTCATCCCTGCAAAGCCTCAGGCAGAGCCCCCGCGCTGCTTTTGTTTAAGTGTGTGTGTAAGTATCTCTATAAATATTCCGGCTATGGACACGGGGAGACACACGAGAAGGGGCATTAGCGAGCACAGAGCCTGGCTGTCCTCCCGCGGGAAAGGCAGGGGAGCCTCAGATTCTCCGCCGGGGATGGAATGGTTAAAGCCCCAAGCACCGCCTGGATGCTGGGATTGCCCTGCTGCGGCCAGCCCGGCCCTGGAGCCACCTCCAGTCCCGCCTACCACTCCCAAAATCGACTTCAGCAGCAAATAATCCACCTGGCACTAAAGATGTGGAGTTGGGGTCTTCTAAACTCCTTTTATTTTCACACTCCATCTTCTAAAGCCGAGAAGCAGTAAGCCTGGTCTAGCTAAACCCCTCCTGGTTTCACCAGCCCTTTGGATGCGCCTTGGAGCAACTTGGGCTGGTGGAAGGTGTTCCTGCCTGTGGCAGGGGGTGGAATGAGATGAGCTTTAAGGTCCTTCCAACCCAAACCAATCCGTGAATCAGCGCTAACTCGTTGGGAAGCAGCTGGCAGCTTTGCCCCGGCATCCCCAGCACCCACACCCGAGGGGCTGCAGCACCAAAACTGTTGAACGCCACCCAAAGCTCTCGGGGAAAGCAGGGAAGATGATGGGCTCGGCCAAACCTTCCCTGCGAATAGCAGAGCGGCTGACAAACCAGTTTGGTCGCGCAGACCGGCTGTGCTGTCGTGTCTAATGGGAGAAAGGAAACGAGTCCTGCCCTCCAAAAAGGGAGGCTGCGAGGGGGGAAGGCGCCGAACCCGCTGCCCTTGCCCGGCGGGCGAGATTTGCCCTAACAAACAAGGGGGGATTGTTTTGGGGCAGAAGCAGGAAGAAAGCCGGGCTGTTTGTGCTGCGGTGACTCACGGGGTGTAAATCACACCGCGGATCGCCGGGGCACATCCGCGCCGGCGGCTCAGAGACGCGGTCTCGGGGGTGATGCAGAGCCCGGCGATGCCTCAGAGGAGGGATTCCCCCTCCTCTCCACCTCTCCTTCCATCGTGCCGAGGCTGAACAGCAGGAGTTTTTTGCAGGAAGGAGGATTTCTCAGCCTTGTTTCAGAAGGAAAATGTGGGATGCTCTGTGCCCCGGCTGAGCTCCGAGCCCCACCTGGTCTGCGTGGAGCCTCCCTCCACCCAGCTGTGCTCAGCATCCTGCATCCATCCCAACAGCGTCCTGCTCCTAAAGCACCTCAGAAATGCTGGAGCATTTCCCAGCCCAGAGCCCGAAATGGTTTGATAAGGGGGAGAAGTCAGTGTGCACCAGATACTGCAAGATGGGAAGGAGAAGGGCAGGACAGGGGGGAAAACATTGATAAAAAAATCCGAAATGAGAATTATTCCGTCTGTTAGTCCAGCTCTCTGTTCCCATTCTCTGTTTTTCTCAAATTTCTCCTCAGTTTTTATGTCACCAAAACAGCCCTGGAGCTTCTCACACAAATCCCTGCAGGGACTTCACTGTCCTTTGTCCAGCACCTCACCGTGCTCCTCACTCCCACTGCGGGCTGAGATCTCACATACCCCGGTATTTTACACAATTCCCCCGGGATCAGGGAATTTCGGGCATTACCAGCCCCCAGCTGCTGTCTGAGCACAGCCCAGCCAGACACACTCTGAAAACAATGTGCTCTCTTACACTGGGCCCTCTCCTGTCTGTAGATGATAAGATGATTTCACATACAAATGTTTCAAATTAAATTTTCGAATTTTCCTTATTTTTTAATGTGGTTTTGGGTTGTTTTTTTTTTTTTTTTTTTTAACTGCAAAAAAAACAGATGCAGTGAAAACATGGACACCAGCCAGGAAAAGCACACAACTGGACATTTGACAGTCTCATGCATCTAAGTTCACACAATATATTGTTGCTAACTATGGCTTTTTAAAAAGAATTAAAAAAAAAAAAAACAAAACCAAAAACACTTTAGAAGCAAAGCCACTAAGTGCTCTGAAAGCCACAAATCACCAGAACTATTTGATGTTATGTGAGAATTTCAGCTTCCTCCTAAAAGAAAATTAACTGCTCAGTTTATTTAGATAAGTTCCACACCCCAGTCTCTACATTTCCATTGTGTGTGTGTTGTCCCAAAGTCCCTGGGCAGCACAGCACATCCCCTTGGGGAAACTGAGGCAGGGAGACAGGAAAGTCCCTTGCCCAGCACCCCCTCAGGAGGGATCTGCCACAATCCTGGGATCTGTTCTGAAACTTCAAGGGAAAAGAACTCAGAAGTCACCAGCAAGGGGTGGAAATGCAGTTTGGGTTGTTAAACCAGTTCTCAATCAGTTGGTTTTCTTTTAAAGTGAATTTTAAATTATTGGTTTTCTGAGCATTAAAATCTGTGCAGATTTATTTTCTCCAGGTGGCAGGAGGGGCTGGGCTGAGGTTTGTGCACAGTGGGAAAAGCACAACTATTAATGACCTCTCTGAAGCAGCATCTCCCCGCAGAAAGAGCCTGCACACCAAAACAAGCCTCTGAGCATTCCTGCACCCTTCTCCTCTCAGAGCATGTGTCCAAAATCCCAATTAATTAATTAACCAGGACTTGCTGCTGAGGTTGAAAAATTAAGCATTTGTACAAATGTACACTGGATCAATGCCTAAACAAGAAAAAATCCCCAGTATGAACCTTTGCTCACCAGCCAGATCTCACACCTTGTCCTTCCAAAACAAACAGAATGGATGGTGGCACAGGGTGACAATGACAGCAGGACAAACAGAAGCAATCCCAGCACAGGTGATGGGGACAGCCCTGGGGAGAGGCAGCCAGGGGAAGGACTGGCTTTTGTCCCCTCCTGGTATGCTGGGAGATGGGAAGGTGTGCAGCTGAACATCACCTGTGGGCACACCTGGACACGGGCTGGGAGAGCTGGGGTTGTTCATCCTGGAGAAGGCTCCAGGGACACACAGAGCCCATCCAGTGCCTAAAGGGCTCCCAGAGAGCTGGAGAGGGACTTTGGACACAGACAGGAGAGACAGGACAAGGAGGAATGGCTTTAGGCTGAAACACGGCAGACTTAGATTAGATATTGGGATGGGATTGTTCCCTGTGAGGGTGGGGAGGGCCTGGCACAGGGTGCCCAGAGCAGCTGTGGCTGCCCCATCCCTGGAGGTGCCCAAGGCCAGGGCATGGAGCAACCTGGGGTAGTGGAAGTGTCCCTGCCCATGGCAGGGGGTGGGATGGGATGAGTTTTATGTCCATTCTAACCCAAACCAGTCTGTGATTCTCTGCCACAGCTCCACACAGCACAAGTGGCCACACACCCTGGCATTCCAACACAAGCCTATGGCACAGCCCCGTCCATCTCCAGCTGGCACTGCCACACACCCATGCCACACACTGTACCCAGGGCACACGTGCATGCACAGGTGCCAGGAGCTCAGGGGCACTCACCTGTGCTGGGGAGGTACCTTGGGGACACACTCATACCCATGGCACAGGCACACCAGGGACATGGTGACACCTGGGGCATGGCCACACCTGGGGCACAGACACACCAGGGACATGGTGACATCTGGGACACAGGCACACCAGGGACATGGTGACATCTGGGACACAGACACACCAGGGATATGGTGACACCTGGGGCACGGACACACCTATGGCACAGACACACCAGGGACACAGTGACATCTGGGGCATGGACACACCTATGGCACAGACACACCAGGGACATGCACACCCAGGCCAAAGCCACACCCACGGCATGGGCACACAGGGATATGCACACACCTGGCAGGACATGGGCACACCTACGGCATGGGCACACCAGGGACAGGCACATCTAGAGCGTGAGCACACCTATGGCACAAGCAGAGGGACAGGGGCACACCTAGGGCATGGACTCAGTGGGGACATGGGCACAGCTGGGGCACGGGGATGTGGGCACACCGGGGACACACACACACACCAGGGACACACACACCGGGGGCACACACACACACCAGGGGCACACACCGGGGACACGCACACCAGGGACACACACCGGGGACACGGCTACACGGGACGCGCGCACACGCGGGGGACGCACAGCCAGGACACGCTCCCGCCCTCCCCGCCGCTGCCGGTGCCGGTGCCGGTGCCGGTGCCGCTCGTACCTCTGCCTGCCGGCGCTGCCCCGCGGCCGGGCCGGGCTGAGCGGCCGCCAGCAGCCCCAGCGCCAGGGCGGCCCGCAGCGGTGCCGCCATCCCCGCTCCGCTCCNNNNCGCCCCGGCCCCGGCCCCGGGGGCGGCCCCAGCCCCGGCTCCGGCCGAGGGCCGGGCTCCGCTAGCAGCCCCGAGCGGAGGGGCTGTCCCTGCTCTCCCCCGCCGTGCCACCCACCGGGGATGACCCCGGGCGTGCCCTGTCCCCTGTCCCCCGGGAGCATCCCCGGCCGGTGCGCGTCCCCTTCCGCCAGCAGGGAGAGTGGCTCTGCCCGGTTTGAAACCGGGAGAAAGCAATCCCAGCTTTTCCTAACCCTGTGCTCATCCATGGCCCAGCGGATGCAGGGCTTGGAGGCCGGGGCCAGTGCTTGCCATGAGCTCAGCAGCACAGAAGATGGGCAGCAGTGCAGCCCCTCTTCAGGGCTCTGGCAAAATCCACACATCAGAGCAGTGCTCTCTCAAGCTTTACACAATAATCACACACTCCAGGTTGTGATTTACACTCTTTCTGCTTAAATTTCCCTCCCAGGCATGGGATGTGGTGGCCCATGGGCAAGGAGGAGCTGCTTGCTGTCAGTGTCACAGCTCTCCTGCAGCTCACACACAGCTGATGATGTCGAGGGTTGCAGTGACAAGTCAACAGCTCTGTTTACTCACAGCAGTATTTTGTTTGACTATTTTGTTTTAATTTGACTAAAGCAAAAGGATGTTTTGATTCTGCTTTGGTTCAAGGGGAAAAAAAATAGGATGTGACTTGTATCTGCTTTTGTTTTCATGCCAGCTTCAACCCCACACCTATTTTAAAGCTCCCAGGCTCCTTCCTCCACTTTTTAATCACGCCAAAACCTGAAGTAACCGAAGCATCTGTTGAGTTCAGCTTGAAGAGAGTTGCAGAGAGTCTGTGACACTTTGCTGCACAGCTGGACAGGGATGCAGGGAAGGGAAGCAGGATTTGAAGGAGAGTAAAAGCGATCCACATAACATAGAAAAATAGAGAAGTCGCTAAGCTTTGTGATAAAAAATATGGGAGAAATGAAGGTTTTGTGGCTGGGCCAGTAAGAACAGACTGAGGAGCTGGTGGAGAGCACAGTGGGCAGTTGGCACAGCCTGAGGAATGGTGTGAGGGGAATACTCGGCCCTGGCAGGAGGGAGAGCCAAGGGACGGCCGCTCCTCACACAGGTCAGCCTCACGCTTCCTTTCAAAACAAGAGCAGCTCTGTCTGCAAATGCATCCGTGTTTGCGTCGTATCTAGGAAGCAACTGATCCATCTGCTCTTCCACTTAAGAATATGGATGATGAGAAAGTGACTGGCTGGGCTCCAGCAGGAGCAGGAAACTCCCTCCTCTGCTCATTGTAATGTGGGGAAGCGTCTGGGAGGGCACCTGCAGCCCCCGGAGCCGCCAGCTTTCCGACCGGGCATTTCCCGGGGCTGCTGCCTCGGGCCTCGGGGGCTTTGGCATTCAGATGGAGAAGAATTCAGCCCAGCCCTGGGGATGCCAAATCATAGTTCTGTGCAGACTTTTGGCTGGGAGTGTAAAGATGTTTATGCAGCTGCTGTGATCAGAGAGGTATCAGGAACAGATATTCTATCATCTCATGGAAAGATGAACAGATTTCCGGCTTTTACGGTGTTAGGTGAAAGATCAGAAATGGGGAAAAAAATAAAGTTTCAATCCGTGTATCTAAACTGAAACCTGACAAATCAAGCCTGTGGCAGAGAACTAATGAATTCTTTTAGTAAAACATTCACTAAGAGCATGATAAATAGATCCCTACAAGGTCTGGTTGCCTAATCATTCCTGTTTTCTTGGGTTTCTAGAGAAAATCCCTCCTCCCTTGAGTTTAACTCAAAAGATCTCAGTGTACTCACTGAGCTCAATTTCCAAACCCTTTCCTAAAAACACCTTCCAGCTCAGAGATCCTGAGTGTTCCTAATTTAATACCATTTGCATATTGATCTGTGAACATCAGAGAACTAAATGCCATTACCACAGGCGTGGGGTCTGCAGTGGGGGAGGCTGGTTTGTCCACAGGGGCACACCAAGAGCAGCTGAGCACTGCAGAGAGAAGAGCTGAAGCACCAGTGGATCCCTGTCTGAGGTGAGATCCAAGACTCATAAACCAACATTATGAAACAGCTCTTGTGACGTGAGCTTTCTCAGAGCAGCTCTGAGTGTTTATCATAACAGATAAGCAAATAGCAACCCCATTACTCCTCTGTGGCAGCTCCTACCCAAGATGGATGTGATGCACAAGAACCTACCAGCAAAAACCTTTGAAGCTCTGCACTGAGAACAGGTTCAAGTTGTTCCCTTTCATCCTCTCCAGAACAGCCATTCTTCAGATGTTTGCTGCTGTACAGCAGCAGGATGGCTCAGTGTGTGCTGTGCCAGGCAATGTCCAAAATCCTCATCTGCTGCTGGAAAGTGGCCAGAGCCAGGACTTTGGATGAGGTCAGACAGGCACAGTCATTGCTTTCCCTCCCAACCCCAGGCTGCAAGAGTCAAGTTTTTTACCAAGGCATGAGCAGCTTAACGTTCCTTGGGCTGTCCCAAGAGTGAAGCTTTTCTGCTCAGACACTGTTTTCTGGGTACTTCATTCGTGCACAGTAACTTCTCACAGGTCAAAGGACTTTCCTGTGTCCTTAAAATGTGTTAGAAAGCCTGTTTTGCCCAGTATCCTGTCTCAAACAGAGCCAAGAACAGACACTTACCACAAGGATGTTAAAGAGAAAATGCAAAGTCTGCACAGACTTCCCTTGGCTTCACCTTTTGTGTGTGGAGTTCCTGGAAGTCCATGAGGTCAAGAAGCTGCATCCAGCTGATGAGGCCTCCCACAAACACACCAATTTGCTGGAGCAGTTTGAGTCTCACTGTTGTTTGCTTGGCTAACAGCCAAAACCATGCATCTCTTTCTAGGATCAGGGTGGCACCTGAGTTCCAGCAAACATCATCACCTTGGTATGAAAAGTGGAGTTTTAAGCAGTTTTGAGTGCATTGTGGCAGCTGTATTTTATTACAACAGCTTTACAAGCAACTGCTACAGCAGCATTAGCAACATCATCTACTGGGACACCATCACACAGGCTCTGTTACCCTGGAAATGGGAATTATCAGTTCTAGATTAGGCAAAGCAGTGCTGGCTGGATCCTGGCCTCAAACCCCTGGAGACTTGAGAGATTGGCTTCAGTCACTGCCTCCCCCCATATCTCTCTTTAGGACTATGGTATTTGAGCAACTTAAAGTTGCATTTCTTCTCAGGGTGAGGTGGGTTTGGCTGCAGAGGCTCAGCATGGAAACTATTTGTCTGTCTCTGAAAATGTTTAGCTATTATTTTATACAGGAGTGGCATTTCAGCTCTCTAAGGATCACGTGCCACTCCTTCATTGGCATCTCTCTTTTCTCCACCAAGTCCTTGTTGAGCTTGGCAAGTGCTAGACCTGTTTTTATAAATAAACCACCAGCATTCCACACAGGACTGATTTCCAAAATGAAACCCTTGCCACTAAGAAAATGTATTATTGGAAGATGGAACACAAATAGAGATGCAGGCAGCAGAGCAGAGCTGCTCCCAGCTATGCTGAGAACCCAAACTGCTCCTTTCTGCTGAGATAGATTCTCCTGGTTTTCCACTTCCTGACAGGACAGATGCACTGTCCTATCACTCCTTAGTCTGCAATTTTTTGTAGAAAATCCTACCAAATCCTCACACTGCACTGAGAAGAACTACAATTCATTCAATCCTTAATATACTGTATTTTAAAAGTTTTTTACTTTCCTTTTAACCTCAGTTAAAGCTTGTCCTGGCAAACTTTAGGCAGCTCTGGAGAAAACCTGCAGAACCCAAGGACTTGGCAGAAGCAGTTGGAGGGCAATGACATAGTTAAACCAGCATAGTTAAATCAGCTGGGTTTGTATTTTTTAGAGAGCATCTTCCCAGGCCTCTCTGAGCTAATTTAACTCTCACTGCACCAAAGGCAAGTAAAACAACCCATCAAGTCAGTACAGTTTCTCTGTCCTGCTGATTTTCTGAAAGACCAAGCAGCTGCTGAAGATGTCTTAAAAACCATGCAAGAACTCAGCTGGTTTTGCCCCAGTGCAGAACAGAACATAAACAAGAAGTGCTCAGCATCACTGCAGGCTGGAAAAGCTGAGAAGGTGGTGCCAGCTCCAGTTTTGTGGCTCACTTGAAGACTCATCTACTTGGTAATCCTGGGCAGTGACTGGAGAGGAAAGTGCTTTTAGCCTGGGGGAGAAAGCAGGGCTGGAAGCTGGGTTGGCATTAAAGGCAGCTAGAACTGTTGCTCCCAATGCTGGAAGCACCAGCTGCTTGAACCACCAAGCCCTTCTCCAGGAGGGAAAAGCCACAGCCCCACCAGGGAACTGCAGGGAGCAGAGGGGCAATGCTGCACCAGCCCTTCCTGGGTTTTGCTCAGCTGAGCTCAGCTCAGCCATTCCCAGTTCTGTGCTCACCTCTGAGGGCTCCAGCTGCACCCTCAGGAGCTGTTTGTGCAGTGCAAGGTGTCAGCTCTGCTGGGGAACAAACCTCAGCAGGGATACTGAGGCTGCTCTCAGTGGCTGATTCCTGCTTTCCTTCCATCCCATCCAGCTGGCACCATTCCTGCATCTACCAGCACAGCAGTGGCAAGAGCACCCTCTAGCCTCTTCCCTCCAAACAGTAATTCCAGCTTCAAACCATCAGCATCCAACTTTTCTAGGCCAGCAAAACAACAGATACTGAATTCACAACTTTCTGAACCCTCACATGCCATACATTGGATTTTATACCGTCACTAGTACATATATACCTCAAATTCCACTGTTTTAAGAGGAACAAGCTGTCCATAAGCTGTGACAAATGTCTTTTCTAACACAGCAGATGCTTTCCAGGAGAAACCTGAAGAAGGCCCAGCAATCACATTTACAACCCTGGGTAATGCTGGTTTGAACTTTGTTACCATGACCATCAATGCACACCAAGCTGGGGAGGTGGCTCATAAACCTTCACAAAAGCCATTTCTGCTCATTTCTCAGTGAATATGGCCCAGCTCCATGCCCAGTTGT